AATTATTTTTATACTCATTTAATATGTATTATTTTGTACTTTTTGATCGCTTAATTTAATAAATAAAATATAAAGTTGAAAAAGTTAATTTTCCACTAACAACTTAAATAATCTCCATCAACTATTTGTCCCTAACAACCTTAACGTATTACTGCTTACCTTTGGTGGTGTAAGAAAAAAAACTTATCTTTTAAGAATTTCACCCACAGTTACAAGAAGACTAAAGAGGATAAAAAGCTCGAAGGCAGTACCGTATTCAGTACCAAAGAGAAACCACATCAAAAATGCTTTCTAACTTAAATAAGAATGTGATAAATTTTAATCGATCCAAACAAAAATTAAATTGTACTTAACCATATTTATTAAAATTTAGTGTGATTGTTTTATTAAAAAAAAATAAATTTGTTTTAATTATTTTCAAGTCCGATTCTGTATTTTTTTGTATGCGAGGTCTCCAGATGGCTGTGCGGCCGCCCGTGTAGATGGCGTTGGCGCCAGGAGTCCTGAGCCACCTAAAAGCAGTAATAAATAAAACGGGGGAACGTTCCACCACAAAGCCAACGCGATTCCAACAACCTGAACACGCGATCGCGACGTTATCTGGCGGCGTCGACCGCGTCCGATCGTTCGGATGACGAGAGGTGGGGATCAAATCGAAACCGCCATTGGCCGAAACCGGTCGGCACACGCACGCCCCTTACATTTTCAAAATACAACTTCGATCTTCTAATTTGTAAATAAAAAGCCTAAGGGCGCGGCCCCCTCTATTGGAATCAATTTCATTTAAAACTCTCCTCTATCCTTTTAAATATATTAAAACGTTAATATATTAAAATTTTATTATATTAAAAGCGTCTGAAGATGCACGGCTAAACACGAAACTTTCTAGTTCTAGTTCAATAAAAGTGTGCAACATAGTGATATTCAGTGCTAATTTGTGCTATTTAGCACTAAAACTAATATGATCTAAAACTAGAAACATTTTTGTCACATTTGACCATTTGGCTGATGATGACCTAATGTAAAGGTCGAAACCGGCACCGAGAAAATTTATAGAATAAAGCAGGGAAAAGTTTTTTAATGCTTTTTTTATTATTAATAGAAACATTTGGGTTTAGCAGTGAATCTCTTAAGATGGCTAAACCCGAATGTTTCTAGTTGTAGGTCTAGTATTAGTTCTACTTTTAGTTCAGTAGAGATATACAACAATTTAGCACTGAATAACAATTAAAACTAGAACTAACACTGTACTTAGAACTAGAATCATCTAGTTTTAATCATCTAGTTATTTCTAGTTTTACACTAGCTTGAACGGACTAAATGTCATTCGGTTGAAACAATCACTTCCTATTTCTATACAATATAAATTTCCCATTTAAATTCCTCCTTCTTCATTAATTTTTAATCATAATATATAAATATATATTTTAATGTATTTATCATAAACTAATAAGATACACATATTTTTACAAAAGTTTACTAGTAGTATATCTAATTCATTATTCAAATTTAATTAAATTTAATTTTGCTTATTTAATGATGTTAATCTGCAAATGGCCATAATTTTTGCTGCTATGCATAACATTTTCTGTTGCACTTCATAATATTGTGCATTTTAGCACGATATTTTGTTTCCGACGAAAATTTTGCTTCTGCACATAACGTTTTTTTTTAATGACTATAAAATTGCTTATATCCTTCATATACATGATAATATCCTCTTGCACATTATGTGTCTTTCTGCACTTCCCCATGGCATTCTTTGAACCCATAATTTTTTGCTTCTAAGCATGACATCTTATTTCTGAACAAGATTTTGCTTCTGCACATCATGTTCTTTTCTGTACCTGTCCATGATATTGTTTCTGCACATCATATATTGAATATATAATACAGTTGAGTTGTCAGGTTGAATGTGAAAATCTTGTGGAAGATTAAAACGATTCTTCTTTAGATAGATCCACAACGGAAAAACTCCGAATAACTGAATTTTTTGTGGAAAACGGATAATCTTCGAATATTACTTTCAAAGTGATCGGGGTTTTGAATCTAAAAGCTAATGTGATGATATTCAACCTTTATGAAACCTTTAATATCAACATTATCTCGCGATTAAAATCATTTTTATCTTAAGTACAAACGCTTTCACGGCCGCTGTGTTGGCAGGAAGTCTTGCAATAGAGTTATTAAAACCTCAAAAGAATTCAAACCGAAAACGCAAAAGATGGTATATTAGAAGCTTTTTAGCGAAAAGACGTAGAAGGTGCATATAGTTCCTTAATGAGTGAAATTCCGTTTTGATGATACCAATGAATGCAAGATTGCTAGAACTGCAATCATCAGCCGTGCGTCTGAAGACCGAAGCTTTAAAGGTATTCGAGAATGCGGATTAGAGTCACTCCAATATCGTGCATGTTGCGAAACCTCAACACCATTGGTGGAAAAAGTTAATTCATCAGAAAACATTATTTTCTTATGAAATCCTCTTTCCATACTGCCAACCCACAAACAAAAATCCAAACGTTTTGCTTCATCGCCGACTTCCAAAACATGATTAAAAACTGGCTTGTATGGATGTATCTTGTTGTGTTTTAATAACTTCTGAATTTGCGACTTTTTAACAATTTGGAGATTTTCAGCTCTTTTTCTTAATGATAATTTTGGGTGTTCCTCTACTGAATGTAATACCAACAAAGTGCTTGGATCATTTTCATCGTATCTCTTCTTTTCTCTAGGTATTGGCAATAATGACCCAGTGCTTAAAAACTTCAAAATTATTTTACGGCAAGTAGTCTCAGAAACGTACACATTGGGGAATTTTTCATTAAATTCCTGAATAACTCGACGATAACATTATTCGATTTTCCCATAATATTGCACCAAGTAATTTGTTTGCAGTAAAGTAAGCATTTTAAGCTGACAATACTACGGCTAATAAAGTATATAAGCGAAGTGTCAATAAAGCTTGTCACTATCAAAGCCTACTAGTGCAGAAATGATCACAAATAAATAAAAATAGGCCGATTTTTTCGAAAATTGGTATTAAAGACTACCTTTTACTTTTGAACAACTTTTCCTATTAACTTATTTCCTTATTTTCTCAAATAAATGCACTTTACTCTTGTACCATTTAAAGTTTTTTCAATTTTCTGAACACCGCGAATAAAATATGTTAAATGTTTCTATCCCAATCTTACTCTAAGAATTAGTAAAATTTTTTATCAAGATTAACTTTTTTCGATAAAATTAAAAATAAAGAAGTTTTTCCTATTCAACACCTTTTCCGTGGACATACTGTATATCTCAGGGTCAAAAGCAGGTTCTGTCCAGACAAACACGTGAAACTTAAGGTGAAATGTTGTCGACAAAATTAACGGAATTTACTGAACATAAGAAACAAATTCTCTAGATTAGTTAACACGAAGTAATATTTATCAACTCGGATATTGTTATGGTTTTAAAAACTCGTGAAAAATTAAATTAATTAGAGCAATTGTAATCCTAACCTCAAAATTTTCATTGTAAACTTATCAAGAAAACTTTTCGTATTGAAGGTAAGAAGAGTTTTTTAAAATTTTTGAATCAACAAAACAATAAGTTATTAAAAAAAATTACTTAACTTAGCCAGTTCAAGTTCGGAGATCAAACTCGGGATAATATTTTCTTCATGACAGGAACAGTTGGATTCAAGATTTTTCAAATACGGGACCTAATTAGTTTCTTCGATAGGAACAGGATCGATTGTATTCTTCAGTGGTTGGACAGGACCGGATATCTTTTTTTTACACTCGTTAAACGTTGATTTAATTTATTTTTTTAGAGAGCAAAAAAAATGCGTGCATCTCTTCCGACAACAGAAACCACCATTTTTATTGATAAATTCCGTTTTTCAAATGTTAAATTTTCAAATAACGTCTCCTGATTGGTTAAATTCATCGGTTTGAAATTTGTACTTTAGTTTTTTCAATATTACCAACTTTGACATTTGAAATATCTCTAATTTAATTTGTCAAATTATTATTTAAAAATCTTAAAATTATTTATAATTATGCATGATATTTCGTAATTTTGATGCTCTTTTAAATCAATTTCCAAATATCTATTCATTTTCTTTTGATTTCAACGATAAATTTTCCAATATGTTGAAATTAATTTTGTTAATTTTCATCCAAATTTAATTATTCCATACAAATATTGATTATTTTCTTTGTTAACTAAGTTAAGGTTACCGTTTTCAATAGGTTTGAACCGGGTAGATAAAGATTTAAATAAATAATTTTGAAAAATATAAATTGAGGTTAAATTTTTAAAATTACTTCGTATCGACTTTATAAGTGATATCTTAGGATTAGAACATTAAAGAACAATAAAATGTATCGAAATTCACTAGTGTATAGTATCTAACATTATTTTACAATTGTTCATAAACTCTTCTACGATGAATACAACAATCAAATAATGTGTAATTGGTTATTATTACACTATGTAGATGTAAGAGAGTAACTTGAGGAATAATCCGAGTTGGATTCTAAGTAGCTAATATTAATACTATGACTTAAAAATGTTTTGTTCGTTATATCCGAACTCTGTTCTGACAAGGTTCGTTATATCGAGGTTTTAATTATTAAACCAACTTTTGTGTTATCTTTGAGATTCTTCTCTTATAATTTATAATTAATTGTGTTTATTTTTTTAGGATTAGGTGAAATAAAAACATGAAAAAGATTTAGATTTTATTTTAATTTAGACTAGATTTTTATAAACTAAGCGACGGAAAAACAATTTTTTTGTTTCTTTTTAAATTTAATTAACTAAGATAATTAATTAAGTAAAAATATTTGATTATTATTTTATATAAAGTTAAAAAAAAATTCTTTTTATTTTTGTAAATCTTAGATCTCTTTGGTTCATTATAATTAAATTAGCCACAAATGCTAAATAGAAAAAAACTTCACATTAATTAAGTGTCATTTTTTTTATAGACAAATATCGTCAATTATTTAGTTATTCCTTAACTAAAGAAAAAGAATCACTTTTTTTTGATCTCTATTTAGCGAGATGTGGAAATAACATTTTTATATAAATTTTAGGGTATGTCGAAACTTGTCACAGCCGTGCAATGTTTGTACACACCCTTATAATTCTTTTGTTTCCACATTTTTAACCTTAAAACTAAAAAAAGCATTTAAAAACAGATTATTTTAAGTTAATAAATTAAGAGTCGATGTTGGGATCGTGTTGATTTGGTCGATCTTGACCGGGTGGTTGTTGTTGGTAAACCTGACGGGTTGCTACTGAGGTGGATGTGATTACACTGGTTTGTTCGTCAGTTGATCTTTGCATTATATCGATAGGAACACTAAAAAATATAAGAAAAAGGCATAAATTTAAAATAAATAAACAGAATCAGATTATGCAGAAATGTGGTAACAGTTTTTTAATTAATTAAATGTTGGTTTTCAAAATGGATATTTTATTATCAATTTTATTTATACTATCATTCCATGATTATAAATTTCTGCCATAAAAGGTGCTGAGAGCCCTCCTTTTACAAACGAAGATGGGAATACTAATTTATGGTACAACTATAGATCTGTTTTAGTTCAAGAGTTCTGTAGTTCTGAACCTTTCCGCGCATACTATTTCATATTGTATGTATACACAAAAAGGTTCAGAACTATTCGGAACTACACAACTCTTGAACCAAAACAGGTCTTATATATTTAACAAAAAAAAAAGTAAATTGATATATGCAACCAAACTTGCAAACAAATTTGTATTTGGCGTTGCTTTATGACTTATATGTATAATAATAACAAAAATTGATTTATATTGTTTCTAAGTAAGCTGAGGATGAGATTTGAGAAAAACCTGATTGACGCATTCCAAGTGGAAAGGAGTGACAGGCAAGGGTGGACCATAAAGAAAGCCTTAGAAGACTCGAATGGAAGAGTAACAATGCAGCAATGAAATCAGTGTAAGTGTGCATAAAAAGATAACTAAATTATGATAATAGAGCTTCAAAAAGAGGAAACACGTAAGAAGTTTCTAACTTACTGAGACATGACACCAGGATGTCGCCAAGCCAAGGACTCTCTGATGTACTCTGACCCTAAACGAACAGATTTATTTATAAGGCTATCCAGGAAGAACCTACGTTAGGTCTAATCACTGGACACTGGCATCTACAGAAGCACTTTCTGAACATGGGAATAAGTGACACCGTCATCATCTGCAGATAATGCGGTGAGGAGGAGGAATCGGCGGAACACATTCTATGCGACTGCGTGGCCCTCCAAATATTAAGGTTATCCATTTTTGGGAGATATCCAGATTCGCATGAGTGAAACAGGGCAGCACAACCAGGACAAATTGTAGTTTTTGCCTCCACAGTAATATGGCTGGAAGGACCTTAATGCTGACCAAAAGAGGGAAGTAAGTACAAGAGATCTGCTGAGGTCAAAGTGCTGCGGGCGGTGCAGCCTGCCTTCTCGCGAATCCAGAATCCAGAAAATGCTATTTTGGCCTATCTAAGTACCAACTGAACCATAAAATTTCCCGAAACACAAAGATCCAAATTTATAAGACCCCTTATGATAGCCATTTTGGTACATGGTTCCGAAGCGTGGACTCTAACAAAGAAAGTTAAGTTAGCCACATTTGAAAGAAAGGTACTGCGTCGAATATATGGAGGGATATGTGAATAAGGGAGTATGGAGAAGTAGGTACAACTTTCAACTATGGATCAGCTGAAAACAGCGATAGAGTGACAACTATAAAGGTGGGCAGATTGAGATGGCCAGGTCATGCGGTAAGAAGTGGCGACGATGTCTCAGCAAAAAAGATATTTATGGCAGAATCTATGGATCTATGGAGAAATTGTGACTACTATCCATGCAAAAAGTCAAGGCCCCTCAGTTTAGAGATCAATATCTTCGTAACCGCTAAATGGAAAAAATTGCGGTAAAGTTTATTGTAATCAATGAACATTTCTGCGTATCGCATGTTAATTTGGAAATTTTCGGGTCCGTGGTTTTTCTTTTATCGCGAGTTAAGTAAAAAAAGTACCCGATTTTTGATAGTACCAGCAACTGTGTCTACTTTGCGATTTTTTTTCTCCAAAACTATTTAACGAAAATGTTCAAATTTGAACTGGTGGTAAACCGATGTGTTCTTAAGATGGGGCATATTTTATTTTTTCGATATTACATATAATTTCGTGGAAAATCGCGGTTTAGTAGGATGCGGTTATTTCAAAAACGACCTGGCGGGTTTCAACGCGGTTTTTATCAAAATATATCAAATAATGTTGGTTGTCGGATTCCGTTATAATTTTTTCAAAATTAGTGCTCCCTAATTTTTTAAGAGCGATTTAATGTAATTGCAAATTCAAGAGAAACAGAAATAAGCTATGCGGGGAAATGAGGGTTCCGTGCAATAGGAACAGATGGTGTGTCCTAGACAGTACGTCGCGCCTTTATCTTATCTACATAAAGAAATAAGGCGCGACGTCTTGTCTAGGACGCACCATCTGTTCCGATTGGACGGAACCCCCGTCACCCCCACCAATTGGTAACATGTTGTAACTTTCTGGACTAAGTACTAATGATATCGTACGATAATACTCTCTCAGAACATTACACTAAAAAGGTTGTTGAACCGATACATCAAAAGCATTATCATTGGAGATGTTGAGACACGCTTTGGGTATAGTTTTTTGATGAACATTATTATTTTTCATCATCGGACTTAATAGGAAGTGTATCTGTATTGAAATCGCCATCAGATCACTTAAGTGATTCTTCAACGAGAATTTTTTGATTTCTAGTACACAGATACTGTTTTTCATTTCTCAAAATCTCATCTATGACTCATTGAATTGCTCAATAAAATAAAACGCATTTCTTGATTAAGATAGAAGTTAATAAGATTAGACAGCCACTGAAGAGAGCACATATTGAAATTTTACCAGCAAGAAAGAAAAAGAGAACCCAACCCAATTTACAAATTGTCGAAGTAAGGTGTTAGTTCTCCATGTTGTTTTGTGAACAGCAAAAACATTTTCATCTTGATAAATACAAATCTTCACTTGCCAAGAGTTTTTGACGTCATTTTAACTTTAGCCAGACAGCATTTTTTGGTATAACAATGTCATTTCGAGGATTAAGCCTCCTTTTATATATTCGTGGCATTTTCAATCCAAAAATGTTGCATTTTTAATAGTTACTGCATTAACATAATAAATGTAAATCCACTGAGATTGCAGTTAACTTGTCAAATTTTAAATAGTTTCCAAATGGTTCAAAATCGATTTAATGGAATTACAAATTAAAGAGAAATAGAAATAAGCTATGCGGGAAGAGGAGGGTTCCGTCCAATCGGAACAGATGGTGTGTTCCAGACAGTACGTCGCGCCTTTATCTTACCTACATAAAGAAATAAGGCGCGACGTCTTGTCTAGGACGCACCATCTGTTCCGATTGGACGGAACCGTTTTCGACATAACGGCGTCTTACTAAACCGCGATTTTCCGCGAAACTGTATGGAATATCGAAAAAATAAAATATGCCACTCTTTAAGAACACATCAGGCTACTACCTGTTCAAAATTCAAATTTTTTCGTACAATAGTTTTCAAGAAAAAAAATCACAAATTTGACAAAGTTGTAAAAAATTGGGTCTTTTTTCATTTAACTCGCGATAAAAAGAAAACTGTGGATCCGAAAATTTTCAAATTAACATATGTTACGTAGAAATGTTCAGTGATTATAATAAACTTTGTCGCAATTTTTTTTATCGAACGGTTGCGAAGATATAGATCTCTAAAGTGAGGGGACTTGACTTTTTGTACAGATAATAAGATAATCCTTAGTATGTTATGTCTATGTTATACTATTTTAATGCAACGCAATTAAAATTTAATTATTGAATCTTTTAATAGATGTCTCTGGGATGAACCTACTCTAAGTAGTGTATATTGACTTGCCTACCCAACAGGGTGTCTGCCAAGTTGCAGGGCCGGCAGACGAGATACCGTTTGTGGTGCAATAGTATACGTTGGAAGTTGATATTGGTCCTGTTCGATATTTTGCTGTGGAATATCTGAAAAAAAAATATTAAACTCAAAAAAGAAGAATTTTATATTCGATACATTTAGTATAAAAGCTGATCGATTAGATACGTTTAACGTTCCCCTTTTGTATCGTTCAAATAAACCACTTTATTTACACAAGTTATCTTATCTTAGGTACTATGTCCTAGAGTCGAACGAAAAATGATTTCAACAAAAAAAAATTTACTTACAAATTTGTCTGTTCGGTATCATCGTCGATGTGCTAGGCGCAGGTGGATTTTGATATTGAGATCTGCCCTTTGGTTTGCGTTTTCTCGTTTGAATGCCTTCCTTTTTCATCGTTAACGGACGATTCATCTAAGTACAATTTTATCGTTAGATTTTAAATTTTAATAGAACGAAATTGTTTTTACGTTGTGAAGTTTGAAATAAAGCCCGCAAGCATTACATACAGGATCACCTTGATTGTTTCTTCTCCATAAGGTGGTTGTTGTCGTTTGACAATTGGCGCATTGAACTCCGTTACGTCTATTTCCGGTCTGAAATAACGTTAAATTCAAATTCAAAAAATTCATTATTTTAAGTTAAGTTAAAATTGTAACACTTGAAGTTTTTTTTTTTTTGGTAAATATTTACGTTAGGTAACTTTAACCATCACTTATGCACAAATCTCGGAGTGAACAACAAATAACGGTATTAAAAAACATAAAGAATAAACATAAAAAGCGGGCGGGTACCAGCAAACATGCAACGCAAACACGGTTTTATTTAATTTTTTTTTTTTTTTGATAAAACATTTCTACCCAGAAAAGGAACAATTTGTTACAACTACCAAACTACAACCAAAAGACATTAATTTTTTAACATATTTACATAATAATAATTTATTACACAATAAATTATTTAACACAAAAAGGGGTACGTCAAAAGGTTTAGAAAAAAAAATAAATAGAAAAAAGACCATTTCCGAAAAAAACAAAAAAAAACAAGACAACTCCTTTTTCTTTTTTTTTATATTTTATTACTTACTGGCACCGGTTTCTTGTTTGATCGAACCGGAGGTCTGTTAACTCCGTTTATTTTGTTGTACAAACCGCACGCGTTGCAGAGGTAGTGCCCGGTGCCGTCGCGACGCCACAAAGGGGTGATGCTGGCACCGCAATTTACGCACTCTTTGATATCTATTTCGCTATTTACCGGCGGCGCCTCGTATGTTCCTGCCTCGTCCTGCCACTGACCGCCGCCGCCGCCGCCGGATGCTCCTTGTGCAGGATAATTATATCCGATTGTGCTGCTACTGTCGGGTGTCACAGTGGAGGTCGATGGATACGCAGCGTACACTTCTTGAGGAGAAGCGGTCGTCCAACTGCCATTTTGTTGAATATACTGGTAGTTACTTCCGGGTGTTACCAAAGTTATTGTTCCGTTCGATGGCGAAGCTTCGTAATTTGGCTAAAGCAAAAAAATACAAAAATTTCATTCAATAATTTTCGTAAATCGCAATAACGGAGATAGAGAGCTAATTAAGTAGGAAAAGAATTGCAGTTTCACGAACTCAATTTAATGAGCTTTTTGTTAACCCAACCCATTTCGTGCATTCTTGCCATCGTTTCTGCCATAATATATACAGTGTGTCCGTAAAGTAACGGATATAGGCGATAAAATCATTATGAACGGTTTATGGAAAAATCCCTGAAAGGGGTCTAAAGATTTAAATTTTTTAAAGAGTTATGACGTCATCGATATTTTCAAATAGCAATCCCCCATTTTTATTGCGATATATGAAAGATGTTTTTCTGAATTTAGTACAGTCAATATTAATATTCGTTACATAAGAAAATTTTCGAGAAAAATTACTTTAAAGTTTAATTACCGTATTTTCTCGAATCTTATTCGCACTCGAATCTAATCCACACCCCGATTTTAAAAATGATTTTAAATAGTGGTAAAAAAATTTAGTTTGCGAATGTAATCCGCATCTTTCTTTGAGCAATTCGACAACATCAAAACGATGCGATGCTTGTTGTTAACCATAAATATATATTTTTTCTGTTGACTGACGCTGATGAATCTAAAGAAACCTTGCTTACGATGAGTTTTTATTAGACTAGACTTCAAATTTACCAAGCCAGAAAAATTTGGAAAATAAATATAATTTAAAAAAAAAATAGTATTGAGTAGCACGAATTCCGTTCATATGCTGCCCTCGTAGTAGCTCGAACGTAGTATGTGCTTAATTATTAATAATTATACATATAATAGCGTAATTATTAAAAAAAGTAGCAAAAATCTAAAAGGTTGTTCTATACAGCAAAGTTTAAAGAGTTGTTATTAAGTTAGCGTTAAGGAAATCGAAAAGCTGGTACAATTTTTGCTGTTAATGAGAGTAACGTTGCGGCTGTTGTGGAAAGACAAGGTAGCTATTGCAGACTGTGAGGCATCGTGCAAAAGATTTACCGGGTTAAAGAAGAGATGATTTCATGAAATTGACGTGGCAGTTTTCTAGTTCTCTCAAGAAAAACGAAAGGAGGGACTAAAAAATTTTTAATACTAGCTAAGGTTGGACTGTGGGATTTATGCACCGAATGGTGTTATGGTTGAGGCGCAGAACTACAATTTCCCAAAAGCTCCTAATGATTTTCAAGAAAATTTCAATTTGTCTCAAACTGTAAATGTCAACGAAATGGATTTGCCACCCAATTACACACTGGAAAGAAGAGGTGTGTGGGAAATTTCTTTATAAACGAGTGGTTCCGAAAAATTGCGCATAACGTTGATGCTAGCAGTAACAAGTGATAGGGAAAAATTGCCGACATTATTAATATTGAGAAAAACCATTCTGAAATCTGAAAGACTTCCCGAATGACGTCTTAGTTAGGGCACAACAAAAAGGATGGATAATTGAAAAGCTGATGATGGAATGATTAAGACAAGTATGGAGTCGTAGACCAGGAAGATTATTAAATAAGGATATTAATTAATCATAGATGATTGCCCTTGGTTTAGACTTCTTGTCACAATAATAATACCTGGTAGAATAACATCCATACTACAACCTGTGTATGTATATGTATATTAACAAACTCTAGAATTAACAAAACCGGGAGCAATTAAAGGAGCTTCTGAACTTGTTCAGTGAGTGTAGGCGACATGGAAAACAATCCCTGAAAACAATATTATAACATCATTTAAGAAGTTTTGTATAATCCGAAGATGACGTAATATGGGAAGAAAATGATACATAAAAATGTAAATATCGTTCTAAAACTCTTAATAAAGTGTTATTGTTATAATGTGATTTTATTTTACTATTTTCCAAATTGCAACTATACGACTGCGAATCTAATCCGCACCCGATTGTAATCCGCATTTGATTTTAGAGCACATAAAATTTGTAAAAAAGGTGCGGATTACATTCGAGAAAATACGGTACTTCAAATTTGCTTGACATGGGAAAGATAGCAGTAGCCATGAGTAACTATGGTAACCAATCATTTTAAACAATTCTCCAAGTTTTATAAGTGTCAAACACTGATTTAGTAAAGCTTGTTTTTTCTTATAGCACTGATTTAAACTGTTCTTACATCACTTTTGAGTTAATAACAAAATTGTCGGTATTGGGCTACCCAAAATCCATATTGGGCAAGAGATTAATGTGTGGTGCGGAATAGTACAGGATTAGTATCGATTAGGATTAGCTACAAACAAATCTCATTCCTTCCATAACGGCCAAATTTCCCGATGATGTTGACCCAACTCGATTTCAACGGCAATTGTTCTTCCAACAAGATGGCTCGCTCCACACTATACGGTTCCTGTTCGCGCATATTTAAATCAATTATTTGCCAATCAATGGATTGGGAGAAGAGTGCCAATTGAATGGGCTGTAAGATCACCTGATTTGACTCCGCTGGACTTCTTCTTTTATGGATATCTGAAGAGTACAGTTTATATCACTAGACCAAATACTTTGGATGAACTAAACATCATCCTCGGAGAAGTTGTTCGAATAACTTTTGATATCTTAGATAATTGTCAGGAAGGATTTAAAAATCGTTTAGGTTACTGTCAAGCTGCCCATGGTGCACAATTTGAACACTTAATTTAATTTTAATTTTTCATTTATTCATTAAATTTATTAATTTTATTTGTTTCGTTATTTGTATTGTTGTATTCTGCTATTTTTTCATGTCACACGTATTTGAAGTAATTAAACTTTAAAGTAACTTTTTTCGAAAATTTTCTTGACTGTACTAGATTCAGAAAAAAATTCTCTTTCATATTCCGTAATAAAAATGGGGAATTGCTATTTGAAAAAATATCGATGACGTATCAACTTGGTTAAAAATGGCGCAAAAAATTAACTGTTCATAATGATTTTATTACCTATATCCGTTACTTTACGAACACACTGTATAGTAGGTGCGTTATAACAAGCTTGTTGTAATTACACAAAACATCAAAAATCTGTAAAAAAACTTTTATAAGAATTTTTTTTTTTTTTCATTTTCATCGATTATATCTTGTGTAATAGAAAGTAAATAAAAAGCTCCATGTTGCAGATATTCTTATCATTTTACTGGGAAATTATTGAATGCTTATTGGGAGATATTGACACGTATTGTGGATTATTCAGGATGTTAAGATTTCTTAAAAGATCAAATTGGGAATCATTTGGATTAGTGATGAAATTACACTTATAACTTTTGGTGCATTTCTGAAGTGATACCCTACATTGTCACATTATTACGATATTTGAATAAAAATGAAAAAAAGAGGATACTTCAATTAATAATTGGTGATATTTCCACAAGGATCCTTTAAGAAATGAATTTTATAGCGAATTTTGAAAATTATCGATGAAAATTGCAACATCGAAAATTTTATCAAATATTGTTTTTCGAAAAACTAAAAATTATCTTGCAAAACGTGTTGGTTCATTGGAAAGAAGATGCTCTTATTAACAGTTTGGGAAATTTTCAAACTCATATTCCAAAAAATGGATTTTATACGAATTTTTAAACCTTAATCGGCGGAAATTGCAAAATTCGAAAAAATTGTGGATTATTTCAAAAATTTATTTCTCAAGAACTAAAAGTGATTTTTCAAAACGGCTTGTTGCATTAAAAAGAGGATACTTTAATTAATAATTGGTGATATTTCCATAAGGATCCTTCAAGAAATTAATTTTATAGCGAATTTTGAAAATTATCGATGAAAATTGCAACATCGAAAATTTTATCAAAACTTCAAATATTGTTTTCTCAAAAACTAAAAGTTATTTTTCAAAACGTGTTGGTTCATTGGAAAGAAGACACTTTCATTAACACTTTGGGAAACTTTCATAGTCATATTCCAAGGAATGTATTTTATACGAATTTTTAAAACTTAATCGGCGAAAATTGTAAAATTCGAAAAAATTGTCAATTATTGGGAAGAATGCGGAGTTAGTGAAAACTTTTTTTAATATGAAAAGTATTGAGACCAACCTAAAACCAGCAAAAGCAGAAGTGTTGGAAGGTGTTTTCGATGCATTTAAAAATGAAAGGTTTTACGGCAACAGCAACCTGTGACATCGAATATATTGGGAGCGATTTGCTGTCAGTGATGGATAGTGGAAGTAATTGGGAGCCATTAAAAGCTATTGAGAGATATTGTTAGGTATTGAAAGTTACTTAGGACCAATGAGATGGCCATCCAATTCATCCGTACAACGCCCAATAACTCATCTTTGCAATACAAAGATACCCAGGCTATTTTATAAATGAAAGGTATTAGGAGGAACTGCCTTTAACGCCTTTAAGAACGAAATATATTATGAACGTTTTAGACTTAGTGAATACTAATGGAGTTAGTGAGCTTTGATCAATTGGGTTGGATTCGGTTGAAATAACTTGCACTCATTCAAAAGCAATGGGAGCCACTGCTACCTATTGGAAGCTATACGAAACCAATAAAAACATTTTTTTGTATTGTGTGTGAATCACTGCATGTTATTTGGAAAAATTTAAACCATTTGGAGAGCCATTAAGGAAAAGTTGAAAAATATTGGTGGTTGTTGTTAGTTATTGGAGGCTACTCGTGGTTAATAAGAGACATCTATTGGAGTTATTCGGGTTCAATGAGAGAAATTAGGAATTATTTACAACCATGAAGAGAAAAATCTTCTTTAAAAATGAAAGATTTTAGAAGCAACCGTAAGCAGGTTATAGTAAAAGATATTTGGGAGTTATTCGGAGTCAGTGTGTCTTGAGACCCGTTGAGTGTTCTTCAGCGTATCTGAGAATTATTGTAAAAGAATTAAAACGAACTGGTTACGAGCAAATAGCTATTGGAAGTTATTTGGGATCAACAAGAGAAGTTCGTGTGTACTTGGTCTATTTGGAGCTTCTAAACGCAAGAAATGAAACCAAATAAAAGCGAAAGCTGTTGGGTGTCGTTGGTAAATTGGGAGCAATGTGGAGTCAATAAGGAACAATGGGATATCCTTAGAATTAGAATGATAGGTTGCTATTCGGAATAATTGGAAAACCAAGAAAGATATTTAGAACCACTCCTAGTTAATGCAAAATTATTCGGAGTCAGTGAGTAATGTTAGCATGTACTGAGAAGCATTGACTATTCAGTGTATGGTTCTGAGAATAAGTAAGCGTCAGGAAAAGGGGAAATTGGGGCAATTAGGAGTTATTCAAAATCTTCAAAACGATTATGGGAGTAAGTGATAGCCATTGGAAGTTGTTCGGTTTCATTGAGATACCTTGGTACGTTTTGAGCAGTACCGAGTCTTTAAAAGAGATTGTTATTGGGAGCTATTCGGAGTTATTGAGATACCTCGTACTTTACTGGGAGGTATTATTTAGAATATTCGGAGGCATTGAAACGCCACTGTGAGCTATTAGGAATTAAAATTATTGCTGTGACACTAGGGAATAACGATAATTGAAAGATATTAGGAGTAAATGAGAGTTAGTAAAAACGAGTGACATTATTAGCTGTTGAGATTTCTCTTTCGGAATATTTCTAAAGAGATATTCCGAAACTTACTAATAGCTATTCGGAGTCAATGATTACTTTTAGTTAGTATTAATAGAAACGAAAGGTATTGGGAGCAAATTTTAGCTTACTATTTTGTGTAAATTTCAATTTTGTTGATTTTATATTAATAAAATTTTATTAACTTACCGTTTGATATTGAATTCTTCCAGATGACCCCAAATTTGGATCATTATACAAAACAGTCCCTGGTGGGCTTTCATCTAAATTTCTTCTGGGTAACTGTGTATATTGTGGATGTTGATAATGGCCATGTGGTAGATATTGAGCTGTATCACCCGCAATCGAATTGGTGTTATATTGCGAAGATGCCGGGACACTTTCCAAATTGGTGTATTCATTATTATCAGGTTTTAAATCATCGTGTGATGTATATTCGATTTGTATGTTTTGCATTTCAACGGTGTACCCTATAATTGGTTGACCATCCACAACCTCGTAATCTGGATGTGTAGCGACAACAACCCCTCCACCATCTTCATACGTTGTTCTTTCATACGTGTGTTGACTATCTTCGGTAGTAATTTGCCCGTTTTCTTCGACGTATTGGTTTTCAACTTCTTGCTGTTGATGTTGGGGTGAATCAACGACCGTTTTCATCGGACTATCGCCTGGGTTGGATGTTTCAACGATTTCTTCAGAAGCGACCGAATCTAATTTGTTGTTTCCGGTTGGTTCATCTTCTATTGTCCCGGCTGTTGTTAAAATCCTTGGTTTGATAACGCTAACGGATGATGTTTGTTGTTGATGATGTGGCGGCGATTGTGTAGATGGAGATCCGTGAGGAGTTTCAGGTTTTGACGTCTCCGATTGTACTGATGAAGGTTCATCCGGTTTTTGGTCCATCTACAGAAAACACCGGACAAAGAAAGGAAATTTAAAAATACAAAAACAACAAAGTCTGCGGTGATGTTTGAACGGAAGAAGACTTTTGGACGGCACGCGCGACAATGTAGTCGACCAAAAAAATTATTTACCTCTCGAATACTTATTTTGCTTCAAAAAATTTAGTTGGGTAGATATATTTGGAGTAATGATGTCATTGTGCGTTAAAATCTTTATTTTTTAACGGCAAATACGAACGCGTCCGCATTTGCTTTATTATTCATAAGAAATTGTACGAAAAAAAACTAAAAAAAAGTTAAAAAAAAAACTAAATACGTATATTTTTTAATGGGATGTTAAAAATTGGGTTTAACATTTATTTGGTAATATTGATTTAGAGGTGAGATAAAGATGATTCAAGTTTTAGTCGACGCGTTTTCGATTTCCACGGAGATGTAAGATAACAAATTGGGAATAGATATAAAAATAAATTAAAAACGATCGAAATGAAGGGTACTCGACTTTGACACCTGCGCAAACAATACACTTGCATCATCTTGGTGACATCACATGATCTACTTAAACTCGAGTTTCTTACTCATATACAGTAAAATTGGAATTTGATTCAATTTTGGTTAAGAAACAAAATGTTTTTTTATTATATTTTATTTTTTTGCAAAATTTTTATAATTAACCTCATTGTTTTAATATTATATCTTGAACTAACAATAAGTCTTTTAACATTAATTTAAGATATAAAATGTCTCATAATACCTAAAACTTTTGTAAACTTATGTTGGTCATGAGGATTGACACTTTTACTCAGATAGGTACTCAGAACTAATCCAGACATAACAAGTTGCATAAACTTTGCACATGATGACGATTTTTTAGGGGTTGTGTTGGGCCTTGTGAGAGTGTTAAACTCAATAGGATTAGTAAGGGAGAGGTTATGTATGGGCGGAATATAAACTACAACTTGTTGATTAAAGATCTAGGGAAGCCACATTGATCTTCTGGTGGATAGAATAAATTTTCGTATGTTGGGATAGATTAACCGTTGATCTTGATGACAAAGTAATCCAGAGAAGAAATCTAAATGGAGCGAAAATTGAAATACATGAACATGACTATTAAAAAAATGCACTTAAGGGACTACTCATATGAATGCCGAATAGTTATTGGCACTATTGTCTCTTCCAAATAATAGTATAGAAAGAGAAAAGGAAGTAAATGATTTGAATATGTAGCAATTTTCATCGATAATTTTCAAAATTCGCTATAAAATTAATTTCTTGAAAGATTTTTGTGGAAATATCACCAATTATTAATTAAAGTATCCTCTTTTTAATGCAGCAAGCCGTTTTGAAAGATCACTTTTAGTTCTTGAGATATAATTCCATTTTTCGAATTTTGCAATTTTCGCCGATTAAGTTTTAAAAATTCGTATAAAATCCATTTCTTGGAATATGAGTTTGAAACTTTCCCAAAGTGTTAATAAGAGTGCCCTCTTTCCAATGAACCAACACGATTTCAAAAATAACTTTTAGTTTTTGAGAAAACAATATTTGAAGTTTTGATAAAATTTTCGATGTTGCAATTTTCATCGATAATTTTCAAAATTCGCTATAAAATTAATTTCTTGAAGGATCCTTGTGGAAATATCACCAATTATTAATTAAAGTATCCTCTTTTTAATGCAAAAAGCCGTTTTGAAAAATCACTTTTAGTTTTTGAGAAATAAATTTTTGAAATAATCGACAATTTTTTGGAATTTTGCAATTTTCGCCGATTAAGTTTTAAAAATTCGTATAAAATCCATTTCTTGGAATATGAGTATGAAACTTTCCCAAAGTGTTAATAAGAGTGTCCTCTTTCCAATGAACCAACCCGTTTTGATAAATAACTTTTAGTTTTTGAGAAAACAATGTTTGAAGTTTTGATAAAATTTTCGATGTTGCAATTTTCATCGATACTATTCAAAATTCGCTATAAAATTAATTTCATGAAGGATCCGTGTGGAAATATCACCTATTATTAATTAAAGTATCCTCTTTTTAATGCAAAAAGTCGTTTTGAAAAATCACTTTTAGTTTTTGAGAAATAAATTTTTGAAATACTCGACAATTTTTTGGAATTTTGCAATTTTCGCCGAATAAGTTTTAAAAATTCGTATAAAATCCATTTCTTGGAATATGAGTTTGAAAACTTCTCAAAGTGTTAATAAGAGTGTCCTCTTTCCAATGAACCAACCCATTTTTAAAAATAAACTTTAGTTTTTGAGAAAACAATATTTGAAGTTTTGATAAAATTTTCGATGTTACAATTTTCATCGATAACTTTCAAAATTCACTATAAAATTAATTTCTTGAAGGATCCTTGCGGAAATATCGCCAATTATTAATTAAAGTAGCAGCATTTTGTATCTTGGATCCAAATAAGTTGACATATATTTTATCAGCTTTCAGATACTAGCACCTACCGTTCCATCGCTAGTTATTGGCAATATTGTCTCTTACAGAAAAGAAGAGAAAAGAAAGTAAATGATATAGAAAAAGGTACTGAAGTACATCACGTCAAAGGAAATACTTGATTATGTAGCAACTGTATTTTGGAATTAACTTCCATAAATCTGTGTGAATCCTGGAAGTTAAAACTAGTAGTTAGGAAATAAGCGTGAAAAAATCTTACTCAAGAACATGTATAGATCACATCTTTAGATCTTAACAAGGGCGTAACATTTATTGCTTTTAGGGCTACAAGAACTTTTAAGAAGATTGCTGGAAAAAGAACTTTGGACGAAATTCGTGAACACATTGGAGATCCTCTCTCTTACCAGATCAAAATCCAGAAAACCTAAGGCAATAATTGTACGTTCGGCATTAACCAAGAAACGACAAATAGAAACGTATTCAAGTTGGTGCCAAAACTTAGCGCAATGACAACAAAAACTTAACATTATACAATATCCTTGTCGTTTCGATCTCGGAAAAGGAGCATATGCAGCTTGATCGAGTACAAAATACCTACAACCTACTAAATGCTGCTAAAGAAGAGTAGTACTACTTATTATAGTATATTAGTACGATTAAAATGATTTTGTATACTAGGCAACGATCTGCAGCGTTTTGCAGCGTTCATCCGAAAAAATGAAGTATTATATGACTTATTGCAGGAATATCTAAAAAAATGCCGTTGCAGTGGTATCCAAGAATTCAAATGCAAAAAAACTCTGCTGTAATTAACTTAGATGGTAATCCAGAGATAAATATTCTACTCCTAATTTTATACGGCTCTATCTTAGAAAAACAAATCGAGAGAATTTCACAACCTAAGAACCTAAGTGGTTCTTCTCTAAAATGGTGAGCATCGCAGAAAAGAAGTACCAAAGCAATTAGTACGTACACATATGTTGGAGAGCTTTCATGATATTTACTGACTACAAAATATTCGCTCTCCAACAGAAAATTGGTAAAATCACCACGACAATTAGTTGATGCACTGTCATGGATCGTAGAAACTGTGAGATATTGGTTGGAGCCCAATCAGAAGATTCAGTATTCAACATTAAGTGAGCATCTACTCCGAAAAGCAAAGTGAGTTTATACTTCTTCTAGGGATGTATAGGAATGCTGTAATTTTAAAGCTGAAAAAAGATGTAATATCATCGCCTTTAACAAAATTAATCAACCAATGCATGAGAGAATATTTATTTATATTACAAGTGGGCTAGAAACATAATTAATAATTACTGTACGAGTGTGACGACGAAGTCGAAGGCCGAGTAATGTAATCACACGAGTACTGTAATTATGCTCTAGCCCACGTGTGATATACAACATTTTATCTACGACTGGTAAAAATTACTTAAAAATCAATTTCTTTTAAAAGGTCTATTTTGACATTTACAAAAATATTTTTAAATGATTGTTGACAATTTTGAATTAATGTCACTTTCAATAACATGTTTACTCATCTGGAATAAGTGTTTCGAAATGTAAAAACATAACAATTAATGTTTATAATAAATAGTATTGTTTTTTCTTTTGTATTGTTGCTCGTTTCAAAAAAAGTCTGCTCTGATTGAGCTAAAAATACGTTACGTAATGAAACCAGTGCGGTAATTATGACTTATCCTAGCAGTCGTAGATAAATATTATTATTATTGGAGGGTTGGATATCTATTCATGTCAAAAGAATATAAACACTGCTTAATATGTATGCATAGCTTTTTCTCGTTGATCAGAAGTAGTTCCAATGGATAACATGGAAGCATTTACAATTACAAAAAATCTTAATCGCTGAATATATTATTCCAGGACTTGTAGAAGGAGCTGAGTAGATAGTATTTTGAATTGAAACTAAGTTTTTAATGTAACCACTTTTACAAGTAATTGGTATGGAACTAGATGTTGTTTATGCAGAACGAAACATTCCAGATGGTGCTGTATTTCGTTCATAGTTATTCCTGAAGGTGGTAAAAAGCAGCTGAAAAGTGTATGCCATGGAATCGAACGTTTTGCATAAAGGTGACGAGCAGCTCTTCCATTACCTCAAGCTTTGTTTCATTTTTTTCCATACAGATCATGTCGGTGTATTCTGCAAACGTATAATCAATATGAGATTCAAACCAGTTCCGAGTGGAAAAGCTAATTGAGTTGAATTCTTGTAATACTATTGGGATTAAGAACAGCAAGGAGTATTTCTTGGCAAAAATAGCTTTATCATCAGCGAATCCATAAAATCTTTGCGAAATTCTTTAAGACTTGACAAAAAGGGTTCCATAAAAAAACAGCGCGAGAAATGTATGATTAGAAATAATCATTTCTAAGAGACTTATTTGTGGAAACTACCAAGAGATAGTTGTCATAATGCTTAACTATTTCGGATAGATGCAAGATCGAAAGGGCAAATCCATGGCTAAAAATCAAATCAGAAAATGTTTCAATATCTGCCATTAATAAAAATGTTCAGAAATTTATCCCAAATTAGTTGTCATAACGCAGATACTAATCAACTAGAATGACTAATCACTAAAATTTGTTAATTAACTAATCAATATGGCGGATATAAAAATTGATGTAACATTTTTTTTTTAATAAAGTTCAAAATATATTTTTATTCTAGACATGGAGATATCATAATGATCTTGATACCAAAATAGCAATGTAAATAAACTTTTCATTATCAATGCGCCATTATTTTTTGTTAGACATATTGAACCATGCCAGAAAGAAGTCAAAAAAGACTTATAATTAGTCCAAAATGATGTTGTGATGTAACGAATTTTCTTTTTATTGCAGAATCATTTTTCCCCTTTTAAGATTGTAAACCTTCCTATCCATTTATTTAACTACGCCACTGATTATCAGACTTTAATCTGCGATGATGATACGTTAACAGTTAGGCAAAGTGTTACGTTTTAATCCCTGATAAACTACATCAATAAAAAAAACCGGAAAGAAAACTTATTCTTTCATTTCCTCTTTCAGGTTAAGTTGATTTCGCAAAGAAGAATTATTCAAAAAACGATACTCACCGAATTCATGATTTTCCTCTCACAAATTTACCAATCCAAATAAAAAAACTATCAAATTCACAAGAAAATTTTCGTGGTTTTTGAAGGAAATTTTATGGTATGGTTTGGAAGAGTTCAAATCACCGAATGTGGCGGACCAAAGGAGGCTGGGGTGTGGCATTTTTGCACACGTCACGACGCCGCGCCGATGTTCGGTCGCCATCTTGTCGTTAAACGCATAAAATGAACGCGTCTCAACGATTTTTTTCGATTTTTCACTTTCCCGAAGAGGAAAAATCACCTCTTGATACATCATTTTAATGTTACGACTTCTCCGATGCAACTGCTTTCAGCGGATAAACACGTTGGGAAAAAGTATACATGATAGGCCTAATCAGACAAAGATTAGATACATTCTATATACAAAGATACAAGTAATGCCTTAAGCGATGTTTAATTGCGGCACATTTTCGCATCAGAATAGAAAATTTTGAGCATGATAAGGTGATGATTTTAATGTGTTTAAGACGATTTTGGGTGTTATGCAAGATTTTTTTATTGGATAGCGCCAATTTTTGTTGCTGGGTGATGGTAATCGATTGGAAAGTTGACAGGAGGATCATATCTTATCGGTTTTTTGGTGATTTATTATCAAAGATTGAAACTAAAAACAGGTTTTTTACTATTTTTAATAATAAAAGTTATGCAAATAAAAATTTTATGTCAAATTTGAATATATATTACATCACTTTGAAGTTTGAAAAGATCGAAGTTAAAATGTTAAATTCTAATAAAGCTTCAAACACAAAAAATTTTTTTTTTCGTTACTAACTTCACACCAAAGACTACTAGATAGATTTTCCAAAGTTATTTAAAATCATGGATGTCAATCAATTTTGGATTTCATAGATATCAAAAATGAATAAAAATAAAACGTATAAAAATCTAGTAAACAAACTTAAATTATATTATCAGCTTCATAATCTGTATGGCGATATGTTAACAGTGAAAACAAAGTACCCAGTATACATGATAACGGTCTCAGTTGGCGTTGAACCACCATCAAAGGTGTTTTTAAAAAAAAATTTCTAATTTTTCATCAAATTCGAAAATGAAGGAAAGAAAAAAATGATAAAAACTCACCTTGGGAGATCTTTAAATTCGATTTGAGAACGAAAAATTGGGTGCGTTATGACCGAAAACCACGAACGGAATGAGAGCATCGTTGTAAAGGCGTTGAGCGGCGGTTCGAATTGTTTGCACAGCGGCGCCCCGCGCCAACACGCCGCGATTGACATAAATGACGCCATATTGAAACAATTTAATTCGAAATGAATCTTTTTGATTTAACTCCACCTTGTTGGTACTTTTCTTATAAGAAAAAATAAAACAAGAAGGTGTTTCGTGTTTTCGTTTTCATTTGAGACTGTTTCTATGCTATCTGGAAATACAGAAGATACTGTAAAAGGACGCCCGATAGGTCCGTATCTGTTCAAAGATTAGATACAAAACCTGTGTGTATAATATCCACAAGTAAATACGGTGTTAAATAATTTAAGATTTCAACTAAAAAATAAACAATATTACCGCTAATAATTTTTAATCAATTTTTTACGCGAATGTTTAAAGAATTCGTTGTGTTTTAAATCGGTTGAGTTTATTTCTGTCGTTTATTTTTTTGACGTGCTCTTATAATTTTATCTTATCTCAATCAGTTTAATAATTAAAATTTCGTTTTTTTTTTCTAAAAACTTTGTTCGACTGATAAAAGCGAACGTGATGAATTCGATTTTATTTTATTTGTTCACAACTTTTTAATACAGAAGATTTTTTTTATCTTTATTACTGTGTGATATAAGTATAATTAGATTTAAAATTTTGATTGAGCAATGGATTGATCTCCTCTTTCGATTAGGTAGTTATAAAATCAACATAATAAATCAAAAATTGATATCATTAAGGTTATTAATTTAATCATTATTAATTTAAGGTTGTTCAAAATGCTTCAAAAATTTTCAGTACTTCACCTTGTGAGAGAGTTTACTGAGGTGACAACTAAGCATAATTTAAACTAAATCCAAGCAAAGCTGTAATGTTTATCTTGGCTGAGTATCGTTTTTCATGATTTCTGGAGATACTGATAGATGATAAACACCTCAAAGTATAAAGAATGCACTGAAAGAAATAGATTGTACGAATCGTATTATAGAAAAAATATTATACATGCAGCAATTCATTGTATTATATTCATTATATTTATTGTACTGAATACAATCTCGTCTCGCTGTCACTTTTCGTAGTAAAGTATTATACCTTATAGTATATTTGTAATAACTTTAACGTTTGCCTGTAATAACTTGATGGTCTTATGATGAAGCAGTAAATCTTATATAAGCATGCAACATTTCAAAAGACCATTATGCAGTCTACTTTATGTAATCTTCTGTTATTGTTGAATGTGCCTAAAAAATTGTCGATCATTTCAAAAATTTATATCTCAAAAACTAAAAGCGTTTTTTCAAAACCGCTTATTGCATTAAAAACAGTATACTTTAATTAATAATTGGTGATATTTCCACAAGGATCCTTCAAGAAATTAATTTTATAGCGAATTTTGAAAATTATCGATGAAAATTGCAACATCGAAAATTTTATCAAAACTTCAAATATTGTTTTCTCAAAAACTAAAAGTTATTTTTCAAAACGGGTTGGTTCATTGGAAAGAGGACACTTTTATTAACACTTTGGGAAATTTTCATACTCATATTCCAAGAAATGGATTTTACACGAATTTTTAAAACTTAATCGGTGAAAACTGCAAAATTCGAAAAAATTATCGATTATTTCAAAAATTTATTTCTCAAAAACTAAAAGCGATTTTTCAAAACGGTTTATTGCATTAAAAAGAGGATACTTTAATTAATAATTGGTGATAGTTCCACAAAGATCCGTCAAGAAATTAATTTTAAACCAATATTGTGTTTGCAGTTATCTCATTTTAGATGCAGATTTAAAATACTCTTTAAAAAATGTGTAGCTAATTAAAAAATTACCATTTTGGTGTTTATGACGTTTTGACTTGGTCTTTAAGATTTTCATTGAAATTATTATACTTAGGAACTGTGCTTCTTTGCCTATTAAAGACTGAGAAGTATCTTACATAAAGCTCCTCAGGCGTTTAATGACGGTTTCAGAAAGGTTTCTCACCAAATTTCAATAATTTCGACATAATTACCTACCTTTGAAGTGGCATTGGAATTTGTTTCAGTTTTTGAGATTATTTTTTTGCCAGAAACATTCCACTTCAAAATTTTTGAAGATTTCACTTTATTCCCATAGATAATAGATAATGGTTAGGCTGAAAATGATTAGGGATTATACTTTTTATGTATATTATGAATAATTTTTATTCACAATATTTTTCTCGAACGATTTAAGTTTTTGGGTAGTCACACAATTTGACGTATTGACGTTTTTTTGGAGATTTTGCGTTATTTTCAAAAAAGAAGAAATCTAGGTTCGACCTGGTTATGGATTATGTTTTTTTTAAAGTAGCACATCACAACAAATTTCGTGCACAACATATTTCTCGATCGATTTTTGTTTCCAATTAGTTATTTACTATATTCATTTTGACATTTTCAAGATTTTAGCTTTATTTCTACAAAATAGTCAAATCTAGACTTGAACTGGTTATTAATTGTGCTTTTTTATGTTTACTTTGAGTTCTTTTTTGATTTCTTAAAGAAATATATCAATTTCAACATTCTAGGAGACATCGCTTTATTTTCAAGAAAATGTGATAGCCAGGCTTGAACTGGTTATGAATTATGTTTTCTTGGTTTATTATGACCACATTTTGTGCATAACATTTTTTTTGTCAGGTTGAGTTCTTCACTTTTAATCTTCTCCTTTTAATTCACTTTAACATTTTGAACATTTTCACATTATTCCTGAAAAATGGCCTCACCTTACTAAACTAGTTATGGATTATACTTTTTTGGTACAATATAAATAATTTTCATCCACAACATGTTTCTTAATCTGTTTCAGTTTTTGAATAGTGATATATTTTCTTCATATACACCATCAATTTCATCATATTTGAAGATTTTGGTTTATTAGCTATCCATTGATGGAAGTGTTGTAAATATTGCAGGCTATCAGTGCCACATAACAATGCATTACACTTAATTATCAAAATTTTACCATTCTAATTTTTTTTCTCCCACAGCTTCCTTTTTTAGTAACTTAGTAGCTACTGTATTGGAAAGGAATTTAAACATTAACAAATTTGATAGCATACATACATACATTTTTAATGTTTTTATCAAAAAAAAAAACATATTTGTACAGAAAAGAGAAATTACATACGATAACAAGATGATAAAATATTAATAATAATAAAAATAAAAACAATACGAACTAAACATTAAAATTATTTTGCGAATTTTGTATACAAAAACACAAATTATATCTATCAAGTTAATTATATCTACATATATTGAGAGAGAGAGAGAGAAAATAATTATATATTAGAGAGATTGTTGTTTAAATGTATTTGTTAAATTTAAAGATTTATTTAATGAATAAAAAAAAAATATTGGAGAGAAATAGATTTGCGAAAGAAATCTTTGGTAAATGAGTGCTTTTTTCTTACATATTAAAAAAAAGTAATAAATAAAACAAAGTTATTTTAATTTTTTTGCTTTAAATGGTGTTATAAATTGAATGAAATTATATATAATAATCTAAATGGAATGAATGATTAGATTAGACACTCTGCTCTTTAACAAAACGTATCCCTAAAGGATAGTTTTGGAAAAAAAACTATATTTACTCTTTTTAACCAAACTTAAAACGCTAAAATTTTATGTAAAACTATAAAAAAAATATATACAAAAATATTATAATAATTAAATTATTAATAATTATTATTAGAGCAAGAACAAACAAATATTATAAAAAAATATTCCCTAAAAATTAATCATCTCAAAATTTAAAAATATAAATAATGTATACCTTAATTATATAAAAATATTTTGTGTATGTGTGCGTGTGTATGTTTTTTATAATAAAATTTTTTTTTCTCTTAAAGTTACGCATTAATTTAATACACATTAATTTATTACAAATTAATTTAACATTAACAACAACGTCTTTATAATTGTGTTTGTAGATGATTAAAAAAATCGCTTTTAAAAAAAAACAAATTAGTATACAGAGATTCCATTAATTGTTTACCTTTATATACTAATCGAGTGCAAAATTGAGAGACATACAGCGCGAGTTACAAAGTTACTGTACTTACGAGTATTTTTTAAAATCATGAAAAGGTATCGAATGAATAATAAAAAAGAATAGAGAGCGAATACTGAATATGAAAATACTTGGTTACTTTTAATTACAAAGGATTGAAATTCTGATTTAAATGTACAATAACTTTTACCCAATTCTGTACATGCACTCTTAAAGCTTGTTTATTAACAAACTTTTAAAAAGTGATTGAAAAAATTTCGAGATATGGTTTGTTTTTTTAGAGATGTAAATAATTTGAGATTTTTTTATCCTGAGAAATTTCTAAAATTTGCTTCCACAACCAAAATTACAAAAAAAAATCGTATTAGAAGTGTTCAATCTCAATTTTTTTTAATATAACAAAAAACTCTCGGTTTAATTAAAGATAAATTTTATATTCTTTACTTAAAAAAAAAATGGAATGTCATCATTTTAATTCGCATCAGTCAAATTCCATCAAACAACCATCATTTTATAAAAAAAATTATAAAAGTTCCCCATTAACATACCTTTCATGATCTAATCTAAATATGATTGGTTTTTAAGATGATAACGATACAACTGTTGGCCTATCCATATTGTGTTCTCCATTAATGATAACTTTATTATTATTGTTATTAATAAGATTATGAGCCGATGAATTAGGGCTGGTTGATGGTGAACTATTCGGGCTTTGAGGTTGTTGTTGCATAATGCTTTGGTAGTATTCCAATTGAGGTGATGATTGAGTTGAACCATAAGGGGATACATTACCACCACTACTCCTCTGATGATGATGCGTTTGTGATGTTGCATATAAATAAGATTGAGTTGTTGCCACTGTGGTATGTTGAAGTTGATGATTCAACGTTGAAACTCCTCTTAAATCATAATTATCTATAACAAAAAATAATAAAAAATTAGAAAGAAATAAATATTACTAAAATATAGTGTCTAACAAAAGTAACGCATAAAATTTATTTGAGATGGAAAAATAGCAGTAGCATTGCGTAACCGTGGCAACCAATAGTTTCAGATCACTACGTCACACCATTTGCCACGCCCAGTTAGTTGTCATTATTTCTATGCGTTTGCTGTGTTATTTTTAGAGGTTATATCGTAGACGTATTCATATTAACTTCAAAAGTAAACGTATTAATGTCTATCATATAACCTCTAAAAACACACAGCAAACGCATAGAACTCAATGATAGTTAACTGGACGTGGCATATAGTGTGACGTAGAGTGTGGGCAACCAATCCATAGTGGGCTACAATACAACAATGGATCTAGCAGATTCTACTGTCCTTGATCTGTAATAAAATATCTGAAACAATTTGCCATGGTTACTCCTCTTTTTCTATCTAAATTGAATAGAAATTTATGGGCAACCAACTCATAATGGGCTGCAAAACAACAATGGATGTAACAGTCCTGTTAGATTCTACTGTCCGTGATCTGTAATAAAATATCTGAAACAATTGGTTACGCATGGTTACAGCTATTTTTCTATTTTAATTGAATGGATGCGTTATTTATGCGTTACTTTTGGGAAACACTGTATAATATCATGTTTTGGAATGAAGAAGGAAAAANTTGATAACAACATGGTGTGCAATCTTACTACTATAAAAATGTAGACCGAGATTTAGTACCCTCACAATCCACTAGATGATGTTGTATACTGAATTTGCAGCAATCTGCATTATCCACACAAACAAAGCGCTTGTAACCATAGAAAAATTTATATGTAACGTCAAATTCAGAGGTGAAAGCAAACGTCACATTTTTGTTTTGTTGTTTGGTGTGATAACCCCGTTCTATAAGTAAATTTTCTTCCTTACTTTCTTTTGGCTTAGTGTTTTATCCTTTAGTTAAGTGTTTAAATAAGTTTAATCTTCTGCCACTTCCTGATAAGTTTATCCGATAGATAAATTGGCGCTCTTAGCCATTGAGAGCAATATATGTTAAAAATTATGAATTTTATCTTGGAAAAATTTTAAATTTATACTTTTTCCATTTATTTGGAAAATGCACTTGACCTCTTCAAAATAAAGTACTGATATAAACCGGTATAGAAATACTTATATTTTTATTTTGCGCTTTGACCTAATTAGTTCCCTCACAATCCCCTTGGGAGCGCTGAATGCACCAAAAAATAGTGGGGAGATGACCTTCTATATACATAATATATATAAATATTTCTATGGAATAAACGACCTTATTTTGTTGCTACTTGACAATGTCGTTGATAATGTAAATTTCAAGCCAAAATCAACCGTTTTAATCGGATAGTTTTTGGACAATTTAAATCATGCTATAAATAACTTTATGGGTTCTTCTGAAAATGATTAGAAAAGCCAATAACAATATTTGAGGTTGCTGCACCATAAGTGATTCCATTATCATGGGATTCTTCCATCAAAAATGACTGATCGCCCTCCCAAACGAAGATGAGAATACTGATCACCAACAAACTTTTCATCAGTAGCAGATTATTAGAAGCGACTGAGCACAGCAATTTTGAATAATGTCACCTCTTAGCAATTATGATCTTTTTCCAAAAGAGCGTTTAGGAAGAATACAAACCAAGGCGGGCTGAAGATAAAATCATGGATCTTGACTCAAACCTTCAAAAAGCAAGGCATTGAGATGCCATACCAGAAAAATGATTCCCAGCCAAAAATTACTAGTGTGTAGAATAAGGTGTTAAAATTGCAGCTCGATAAGTCGAGAAGAACTGTAGTTCTGTTTCCTACAACTGTTATATTTGAGAGTGGAAGCAGGGCGATAAAATACGAGTATGAGCTGAAGCAAAGGAGCGATTTTAAAATTGTGGGAGAGTGTTGGAGGGAGGTTAAGACTGGAATGGGGGAGTATGGCAAAGAGAAAGAGTGAGGAAGAAAGTGTTACAGTGTTAACAATTCCTTCCTCATTCCAGGAAGGAGTTGCAGAGTAGAGACAGAGATGTGGAAAAGCAGGAATGGCGTGCTCAGATGGAGGAGGGGAGATACAATAATAAGTATAAGATCATAATAACGGAGGAAATTCCGGGGTATTTGATGAATGAAAAAAAGTATGATTGGGCGATTTAGCCAAATAAATATTAGATGGGAGATGAGGAGAGAATGGGTAGATTATGTAGAGATGATTGGGAGACAATTGATCATATGCTGAGGTGGAAGACTTGAGGGAAGAGTGGATGGCAGATATGATAGACCTGTTTTGGTACAAGAGTTCTGTAGTTCCGAACAGTTCTGAATCTTTCTGCGCATACATATTCCATATTAAATGTATGCGCAGAAAGGTTTAGAACCGTTTGGAACTGCAGAACTCTTGAACCAAAACAGGCCTGATGAACGAGAGGAGGAGGAGGGGCAATAGTGTGAAGTTGTATATTATGTATTGTAGCTATTTGGTAGATATTGTATTTTAAAAATTGTATACAGAAGGAACAATAAACGATATTATATGAAGCAGGTTAGAAGCAAAAGAGTATAACTGCACGAAAGGCAAAGTGGAGAAAATCAAGTTTAAAGTTTTTATAGTTTTTATAGTAAAATCCATATGACTGTTGTAATTTTTACTTTATCGTCACTTGTTTCGATATGCCACCAAACAATTTTACTCATAATTTACCCAAATCTGCACAAAACTCGTTTTGAGTCAAAATGCTTTTGTACCGTTTTTCTTCTTATACAGGGTGTGTCAAATGTCTGGAATATAGCCAATAACTTGCCATTTGTGGTTTTAAAGAAAAATGTTTAAAATAAAAAATTCTTTATTGTGGCGCATTTTTTGGTGATACTTGCTCGTTTACATTGTTCTTTGTTTCGTTGCTATAGCAACCAATATTGTTATTTTAAATGGTATGCATATATATTTTTTTTGCATACTTTGATAGAGGATAAGTCCCTCTATGCGATGAACATATCAAATCATATGGTTCTATAAGAAAAAATCGAGAAAGATGCGTTTTTTTAAAGTCTTAAATCAGCTAATTACAATCAAAGTAGGCGCCGAAATAACGCCGTTGACAGCTTTAAATGACAAAAAAATGACAGTTTAAACAAATATGGCGCAATTGTATTTGAAATTTTTTTTTTGAAACCACAAATGGCGAAGTTATTGGCTATATTCCAGACATTTGACACACCCTGTATGCTTATTATACTAATTAGCTAAACCAAGTCCATACAATAAACTTTCAGCTTCCTCAATGAGTGCATCATTGTTGGATCATCTGACTGCTCTGTATTTGATTATTTCCTCTTTTGAACTGTTGGTAATTGAACCTTTCAATTCTAACAGTACATTCTTTTTAAACTAGGAAAGTATGGGATAAAGATTTAGACAGCTTATGAAGATATAATTTTGTATGCATAAAATTGTCAAATATACTGGAGTTCCCAAAACTAACGGATAAAATCGGTAAAACCATTAAAAACAGTTTATGGCAAAATCGCTGAGACTGCTCTAAAGATTTCAATTTTTTGCAATTATTTGGTATAGATTTTAAATTTTTTCCGCCATTTTTAAACGAGTTATGACGTCATCGATATATTTTTCAAATAGCAATTTCCCATTTTTATTACGGAATATGAAAGAGGACTTTTTTCTGAATCTAATACAGTCAATATTAATATTGGTTACATAAGAAAATTTTTGAGAAAAACTATCTTAAAGTTTCATTATTTTCCATGCATTGGGATAGAAAAATAGTAGTAGCCATGCGTAACCATGGCAACCAATTGTTTCAGATATCAAAAATTAATCATTGTCTCAATAAAATATTTGAAGCAACTGGTTACCATGGTTACGCATGGCTACTGCTATTTTTCTATCTCAAACGAATTGTCATAATTTCAAACGTCATAATTTAACCCGTCTCAGCGATTTTTCCATAAACCGTTTATAATTGTTTTAACGAATTTATCCGTTACTTTTGGGAAGCACTGTATATCGAAAAAATAGGAAACCAGCAGAAATGCATCCAGGAGTAGCTTGTTGTATTGTATATCATAAAGGGGTTGCAAATATCATGGAGAAATGTAACAACTGATATTTTAATGCAAGCCTTGACCTAGCCAGAATATTGGAAAAAAGAAATCTTACACTGCTTGGTACAATTCGAATAAGGGTGAAATTTTAAAGATGAAAAGATTTTGCAAGATAGTATACACCAGCCTTTTTGAACATATAGTGTCAAAAGACAATCAAGAAGATGGTGAGTGGCCAAAATTTAAAATTCAAAAGTAAATTTCGTCCATAAATACAGATTTCACCTATACAGCACTTATCAAAAGTTTTTGTACATAATTTCTTACCAAGTGAATTATGTTCCAACTTGATGTTATTTAAAGTATGTTCCATTTTGATACTATTTAAAGGATGTTCCATTTTTATATTAGGCGTTGATGACGTTGAAATTCCATTGGTTGAATTTGCGGGTTCTTTATTGCTATTCTTCGGTTTCCTTTTTCTCGTCTAAAAAAAAAAATTTATAAATCAATTTTGATCAAAATTACCAACTAAGAATTTATTATGAACATCAATTTTTACCTGTATACTCTCTTTTTTCATTGCTTGAGGTCGATTAACGCCGTGCAATTTATAATAAAGGCCGCATGCGTTGCAAACTGGTTCACCCTGAGCGTTTCTGCGCCATAACGACGTCGTCGATGTGTGACAATTGGTGCAGGTTAATCCAACGCGTCTTGAAGCTGACTAATTATTATTAATGAAAAAAAAAAAAAGAAAAGAAATTAGTTTTATTAAGATTATTTTTATTATATAGGAAATAAGTGTATATTTAATTGTTTCATTTTTGATTATTAAATGTACACTTTTGAACAACCTGGTATGTAGTAGTAAAGAAGATTAATACTAATAGGGGTTGGTAATAATAAAAAGAATGAAAAAAATTTAATAAAACTAGAATGCTCCAAAAGTACTTATTTAAAAGTTTTTAGATGGACTGTAAAGTACAGAGTGTTAATTAATAATCGTATCCGACGTCATCATTGCAAGTATGCAACCAATATCACAGTGTTGGTATTGCAATACGCGATTTGCGTATTTGGTTGCATACTCGGGTACGATAATTAATTAACGCAGTGTATATTCTTATAAATTTAATTATTAAAATTTATTTCTTGCTACTCCAAACAGTACCATCTCTATGTACCTTGCTATCAAATAAATTCTCAATTATCCTTATACAGATTTTGAAATATCCTGATGATGTACGAAATCGGTTAAAAATATAAATAAAAATTTATTTGAGAACATGGTCCAAACAAATTCTAATCTAAATACAACTAATACTAGAAAAGTATAACTCTACAGAAATGAAGGAATTAAGGAGCATTCCGATTAAAAAAAGTAATTTGAAATCAAAACGGATTTGGTGTGACGTACCAAACGCCGATTAGACTTTTCTTCGGTGGTAGGCACGGGTCCGTGCGTACCATTAGAGTACCCATACCGGTAGTTCTTGTAGAGTTCTGCAACCCCCGCATGACCGGGCTCCGCCGCCACTGGAACGCAAAGAGAAACAGATTCGTTGTAACTTTTTTTTAGTAAGAATCAATCATGAATTATTTCGATTATTTTGATGTGAGATCTAAGGCGGCGTTTTTAATTAGAATGATCTTTCTTTAGCTTTATTTGGCAGCGTAGCCACGTTGTCACGAGGGGGCGTGCGTCACGTGACAGTGCATTACCAATCGGCGCGGCTGTTTCACCAACGGCCGGTTCATCCCGTTCATCTTGTGATACAGGCCGCACGCGTTGCAGAGGTAGTGTCCAGTGCCGTCGCGACGCCACAGAGGCGTGTCAATGGCGCCGCAATTCACGCACTCCCGCCCCTCCGTGAAGTATTCAGCTGATCTCGGGTCTACTATATTACAATATCAAAAACATTTCAAATAACAATTAATAAAATTAATAAATATGTATAGGTATATCCAATCAATTAGTTAGTTTTGTCTTATATGGTAGATGGTAAATTTCTAATAACGCCATCTAACGATCAAAGTCATATAAATTTATATAAATCATATTAAAAAAAATTCAAACTAAAACAGGTAGGAAAAAGAATTAGAGTGATCTTCATGATCTTCACTAAATGTTTCTCTTTCTGACAACTTTCTGACAACTATTCTGCCTTCATAAGGAAGAGTGCACCATCTTCAGAAAATGATTGTCACATTTACCTAACACATTTTTGAACATCTTTTGCGATATTTTAGACAGCTGCATCTGCAGCTTGAAGAATTAAATTTATGGCTTGATAATTGCTCAAGGCAGAATAAAAATTAGTGTTTTCTCAGTTTTTAGCATTTACTCCAAATGCAACAGATATTTCATTTAGCCTCATTTTTACAATATTCTTGAAAACTATCCAGGCTATAATCAATGTATTATGTTGAATTATTATCTATTAGATAAATTAATCAAGAGATGGCAAAACTGATCCTTAAGGTGTGTCCAAAAAAATGCGGCTTTTGCAGGACACAATTTTGCTATGTGTAAGTTTGGACATATCAAAGAATATTTGCGTGGCAGTTCTACGCAGCACACTTAGGTTGTGTCCAAACTGTGTCCATTATTTGGAGATGTCTCTCAAAAAAAATTAGAAGAGCATGATTTTAATGATTTCTTATTGGCAGTTCAGAATGTTCTTAAAGACATTAACTACATAGACTTCTATCATTGGGTTGACAACCAAGACTTCTTCTCGGAGATATTGTTTGTCTGAAAGCAAATCGTGATCCAACACATTATAATATAAAGTGATGTGACCATGAAGAAAATAAGATATTAAATTTTATTAAAGCTACTAATATAAAAAATTATATACCTTATCCAGCAAAAAAAAATAATGGCAAATAAATACAACAACTAGAAATTGATGAAATAAGATACAAAGAAGCAATAATTTCAAATTAGTTTCTCATTAATTCAGTAATTGCTCATTTATTATTCTCAGGAACAAAAACTCAGTGAGAGTTTGCAAAAATTGTGGATTGACTTCATTCTACGGTCCATGGCATAAAAAAGCTCTTCCTTGGTATATAAAAACTGGCTATTATTGTTGAAAAGAAGTTAGGAACAAAAGAGTGTGTCAACCATCAAGGATATGCTGATATGCTTGAATGATGCTGATTTATATGGAAAGGTGAGATGAAAACCAAATGCAAAAAAAGCCAGAACCAAAAAATGAAAAGATTTTCCTTTTTAGAAAATCGTTGAATTTATATGGAGAAAGAAAAACGGAAAGCAGCATCTGAAGCATGGTGACGGATCTGTGATGGACTGGAGGTTATTTTCAGCTATTAGATGAACTTTGCATTTCACTGAGGATCAGAATCTATACCTATTTCTTAAGAACCTCTTTATTTCTTGGCAACGATTGCGATCCTACCAAAATCATGGCTAAAGAGCTACATGTAGTGCTTGGAAAATCCTTGGCTTAACAGTTGCGCAGAAGAAGGAGTTCGAGTAAATCGTTGAAGTGACATAGGCAATCTTGTGAAATCGATAATCGCAGGTATAGCGCTCGCCAAAAACTTCTCACCAATACATATCAGGTAAAGTTGTAGATGTTTTACTAATTAAGTCGAGGTTGCATGCAGCCAAAACGCAGTGATTAACATTATATCAACCTAAAATTGGTCATCATATTGTAACACTTCGGTCGCGAGTGACCTCGGCTTTATAAAATGGACTTTCTCAAAAGACGATTCTTTTCAATAATTAAGTCATGGTCACTTACGGCCGAGGTTCAATGATATACCAGATAAATTGATCAAGAGATGATAAAACTGATCCTTAAGGCGTGTCAAAAAAATTGCAGGACTCAATTTTGCTACGTGTAAGTTTGGACATATCAAAGAATATTTGCGTGGCAGTTCTACGCAGCTATGTCTTACACGCAGCACACTTAGGTTGTGTCCAAATTAAAGCGAAATACATGAATGCAAAAAGTTTTCACCATTATTTGGAGATGTATCTCAGAAAAATGAGAAGTGTATGATTTTAATGATTTCTTATTGGCAGTTCAAAATTTTAACAAAAAATGGGATAATTCTTAAAGATATTAACTATATAGACTTCTATCATTGGAGTGACAACCAAGATGTGATCTAACAGATTAAGTATAATATAAAGTGATGTGACCATGAAGAAAATAAGATATTAAAGTGTATTAAAACTACTAATATAAAAAATTACATGCCTTTTCCAGCACAGAAAATGAGGGCAAATAGACAAAACAATTAATAATTGATCACATAAGGTGAGTAAGATACAAAAAAGGAATTATCTCCAATTAGTTTCAGTGAAGATGCCGCGTTTTTCCTTACGAAGGTAGTATTGAACTGAGAAAATTGCTCATCAATTATTCTCATGAACAAAAACTCAATGAGAGTTTGCAAAAATTGTGGATGGATTTCATTCTACGGTTCATGGCATAAAAAAGCTCTTCCTTGGAGGAGCTAAAAGTGAGATGAAAACCAGAAGTAAAAAAAGCCAGAACCAAAAGATGAAAAGGTTTTCGTTTTTAGAAAATCGTTGATCTGAGATCAACTGTGAAGCATGGTGACGGGTCTGTGATGAACAGATTTTATTCTGTGATGGTTATTTTCAGCTATTAGATCGGGACCTTTGCATTTCACTGAGAATCAGAATCTATACCTAGATTCTTAATAACCAATTTACTTCTTTATCTTGTGGCAACGATTAGCGATTCTACCAAAATCATGACTAAAGACCTACAAAGTAGCGCCTGGCTCTTAAATAATTGTTCTCATGTACTGCTTGGCAAATCTTTGGCTGAACAATTGTGCAGAAGAAGGAGTTCAATAGTAAGTCGTTGAAGTGACATAGGCAATTTTGTGAAATCGACAATCGCTCGCCAAGAACTTAATACATATTACGTGAAGTTGTAGATGTTTTACTAATTAACTCATTAGCATCATGCCCTTGGATTTATGAGACAGCCGCATGATCGCGGAATATTCCGCGATTTGATGCAAATAAGTTAAGCCGAGGTTGCATGCACCTGAAGCGGAGTGATTAACATTATATCAACCTAAAACATGTCATCATATCGTAACACCTCGACCGCGAGCAGATTCGGCTTTAGGCTTGTTTTGGTTCAAGAGTTCTGTAGTTCTGAACAGTTTTGAATCTTTCTGCACATACATATTTCATATTAAATAAAAGGTAGAAAGGTTTAGGACTGTTTGGAACTGCAGAACTCATGGGCCAAAACAACTTTTTATCAGATGAAATTGACTAATTAGGTTGTGGTCCCAATATTCTACACATGAAATACAGGGTTAGGCAGGGAGGTTTGGATAATTTGAACGTGGCGCCACGCAAGGTGGGGAGAACCTTGGTTGATAAAGAGTTATTAGTAACAATGGAGACGTGGTCGAGTATCAACCTCAATACTGTATGGTTTCAACAAGATGGGGCAACATGCCATACATCGACAGCAGCTATGCAATTTTTAAGACAGATCTTCGTTGGATGTCTCATTTCATTGCGTGGAGATGTGGAGTGGCCTCTTCAGTCATCGGACCTGTCATCTTGTGAACAAACCACGTACACTTCAAGCCTCAAGTGAAACAATAACACAACAAATTCTTTAATTTTTGTAATGGCAACATTCAAGCTACACATTGAAACAATAAAATTTGCCTAACCCTGTACATACACGAATACTTTTGTTGGCCATTGTATACGATTAGGTACCGCCAATCGTGTAATACAGCGCATTTGACCTTCACCGGCCAAGATAGATTTGTCAAGCTGTAATGAAAAAATTTTCCCAAAGCCTAGATATAAATTTTATTGAGAATTTGTGGAACTATGTAAATATCAAAGCTCGGGAATATGTCGTTTCTAGTGAAGTTAAAGAGTGCCTTGAGGAAGTTCAGAAGATTAATTTTAGAAAATTAAATTTCAAATTGAGGATAGAACTTCAAAGTAGCAACTTAAGTTTAAATCTAAGTTTTTTTTAAGTCATTACTCATGAAGCATCGACTACACATCAGCACACAGACTTAATGAAGCTTGAAGTCAGGAGAAGAACTTCAATGAGTAACAAAGGCAGAACAAAACAGAACGTTGTTTTAATATGAGATGATCTCGAATTTGACTTGTAATTAATTTTTAACCTGTTTTAGTTTGATTACTTGTAGTAAGATATTATTACATGCTTGAGATTTGCTCTGACCCATAATATATTAAAAATCGACAAACTTTTCTTACTAATAATAAGACACAAAATATGTTATTATTTTAAATTCATTTTTATGATTAGCCAAAAAAAAAAACATTTAACACAAAACTTTTCAAAACACTATTTAATAGCAAAAAACATTACGTCATTTTTAAGCTGGATTTGCATCAAAAACTGTTGTGGTATATACAAAAATAGCCGAAAGAAAGCAATCATTGTTTTAAATGATGACAAAAGAATAAATGATTCAGCAGATTCTAATTGCAGATGGTGTCGATTACAGTGAACCACAACCGTTTCAAGAAGAATGCTATCGTTGCAAATAAATGGAAGAAAATACATCTCTTAGTTAATAGCTTTTTGCCTTCTCTTCTCTCTCTCTTAGACCATTCTATTCGTTCTTAATGAAACGCTTTTTTAAGTTATAGTGAAATTTCTGTTTTAAAAAATTTAATTATGAGTGAATGAAAAAGTTTATTTTTGTGTGGTGATATTTTTGCTGAAACCTCGGTCAAAAACCAATGAAAATAACAAAATGTTACAAATGAGATGGAAAAAACCGCTTAACCACTGGTTTAACCTTGGAGAAAAACAACAGCACAAACTTTTTGGTTTAATACTAACAATGTTATTTTGATATAAAAAAA